ACTTGGAACTAATCGCACGCACTGTCAAAGAGAATTGGAAAATAACAGTAGTAGCATTGGCTGTAATTACAGGGGCACAAGGAATCACCTACATGCTCGGGCCACTTTTTATAATAAAATATTGAAAGTTGTTCACGCTACAATAATGATCGTTAAGAATATAGCCAATAATACAAAGAATAGAATCGTCTAGTGGTCGCAGAGAATACAGTAGCCAGCAAATTCTCCACTAATCCGATATCAACTTGTAATATTGCGCCACTGACCCCACCGAAACGCTCACTACTTTGATTGCCTAATGTTGCAAGAAGATGTACATAACAAAAGTCACTGATAAGAAAAAGCTCAAGACGATGTACATCCCAACAGTCATTGAGCATTTATATAACAAAAAACAGTTGAAAAGCAGTTTATACAGGGTGGCTACAAAGTATGGTCAGGGATTTATTCGCATGTAAAAAATAAATAGACCACTTTTCTTCAAGAATTTTCATTGAATGGTATATCTTTTGGAAGTTATTGATGTTCCGGAACGGTTTTTCCCGTAGTAGCGACTACATGTTCTCCTCGTCTTGAAGATCCAACCGATTTTGAAAATTATCACAACGATGCTATCTGCTTCTAACCAGTCCATCAAAGGTTGAAATACAAAATCCATCCTCGTGTTTGGACAGAATTTTGCCGTATTCTGCTGAGGCTTCGACTCCACACGCTACGAAGGTTTAGAAATGGTTTGAAAGAACGTCCCCACCTAGAAAACAAGAACACAACAGTAGATGTCGAATTGTGGTTGACTTATCTCTACTCTCATGACATTTTTATAGAACTTTATCTTAGGGGAACGACTCGCAAAAAATTAGATTGCTCCTGGAACTGCGTGGCCCGCCGGCGAGCCACAGCAACAGCCTGCGAAAATCGCGCTCGGCCCCATACGCCAGACACACTTGAAAGGCGCGGTCGCCAGTGGGTCAAGAATGTCCCTCACCCAACTAATTTCCACCCGATGGCCACACTTTAAAGTGCGTGAGTTGAAGGCGAATATGTTACGAAGTCCGGCCAGCAATTTTGACAATGACAGTGGCTGGCTTCAAAATGTTTTCCTCTTCCTTCTCTTCTTCCCTATTTCCGAAATCAACGAAATTTCTAAATCATACAAGCAATATTAGTTCAGCTAGGCTTTCAGACTGGACAACAGCCAACGACGGATCAACAGTCAAGCAGTTGGCGTAGGTGCGAAGTGATTCAAATTAGAACTCATTGTGCATACATCCATTTTATAGACGCGCAATTGAGAAGTGATTAAAATGAAGCGAACCAAAATCAACCAAAACCAAATGAACCAAAATTATAACCTCAATTTACTGCTTCAGTGTTAGCTTTACGGCTGCAGAGCAAAACAGCGCTGATAGTTTCCAGCCAGGGCTACATGCCTGTTTATATAGGTATCCAGGACTTCTTTCAAGACAGCTAGGTCAAATTAAATTGAAGAGTTGAGCTGATCAACTGAAGCAAGTCCTCAGACGCATGAAATCGACATAACACTCAGTCCTAAAACTGGATAAAAGTGAGCGTACAGTTACGGTAATTGCTACTAGCCGCCGTACTTAACCGCCGTTTTTCACTGTGAAACTCGTCCGTCCCCCTTTTGACTTCGTTTTTGTACCTCTGTATTTCTTTTTATTCGTCGTTTTTCGTGCTTTTTTCGTTATTTTCGCAATATTCTGGACTGGGCCTATCACTTCTCATCAGAAAACGGGTACCCTAAACTTATCGTGAACTGTGATTTTAAGCCACAAGAAGCGAGTGGCATCTCGTTCTGTACGCTGAAGTCGAACCTGATAGAAGCCCTTCCTGCGTCGGCCTTAAGGAGGGAATTGGAGAAATGCACGGAGCAAAATGCCGACTAGTTTTGGCAGAAATGTCGGGCCTTGATAGAGGCAGTCGTGTAGACTGCATGCCGCTCTGCGCTTGAAAGAAGCGTCAAACGACAACGCGTAGTTTCGTTGTAGAAGAGGACGCCTTGTAGACCGCTTCATGCGGAATATAGTAAAAGCGTGAGTTTTCGAAAGTGTCTTCACCAACATCTTCTACAACTCTTGCGGTAACATGCTCTTTAATTGTCTTGAGGTGTCTCTGCCAGATGTCAGGTGGCTCATTAAGGTGCTGGAAATGGTTCAATAAACGACGAAGCGTTAACTGTTTGTTGTCTTCTAGTCTAGGGTGACCTGATTTACACGGAAGCCGAACATAAAGAACACCATCAGGGAACTCTGATGTTTTGTTATTTTCTTGTACAAGACACTCATAGAGTTGAGTTTGCTATCATCGGAAGAGTCGTATTATCGGGTATCGCCGAGCGCATCTAATGACCACAGATGTTGAATCTCGTCGTCACCTTGGTACTTGCTCACTGTGACTGTATTGAAAAAGGCTGTGCTCTGCGGAGAAGCCGATCTGCCTGATACGACCGTGACGAACCGGGTATGAAATACGACCATGCCTGAGGGCAAGCAAAGGGTGGAAGGTCCGGCGAAAGTATGTCCCAGAGGTGATCAATAGCGATAGGGATGTCAGGTGCAACTAGCTTAGATGGACATGATGGTAACGTAAATCCATGGTGTCGTATGAAGTCAACGCCCTCGATGACAAATACAGTGGAGACCGTGCTGATGCGACCGTGTGCTTCATGATGAGCTCGATTTCAAAACTTTCGCCTTGCAGGTCTACGAGTAAGAGGTCGACAAGTGACAGTTCTGATGTTGACTGGCCACCAAAGGTGGGGAACGTCCGAAGTTGTTTGTCGGCAACAGTGAGCCCTAGTGAGCGTTGCGATGAGCTTGTTGTTGTGTAACTATTCTGTGCTCCGGAGTCGATAAACAAGATAACTTCATATTGTGCTGTGTTGCTGTTAAAGGTCTTGCCCTTCAGCAACATAAGCGACGCGGGACTACGTTTCGATTTCATCGGGTTTTCTTAGCAGCATGCATCTGAATGGCATGATAGCAATAGGTCCGCTTCCGTTTCAGAATCGAAAGCCTCATTCTGCTGTGGATATGTTGAAGCACTTTGTCTACGATTATCCGAACGGTCTCTTACGGGAGAATGGAATTTGACGCGATGTGGAGGTGGCGATCGAGAAGATCGACCGGAATGGTAACTTCTGCGTGTTTCCTGCCGCTCGCGAGAGTACGAACGCGACTTATCGCTCCAAGATAAGCTGTGGTCCCCCTTTCCTGATTTGTCTTGATTCGGTCTTCTTTTCCATATCGTTTAGTAGCCTCCTGTAATGATTATTATAAAAATCACATGAAATTTCGTACTGCCCTTCCACCTCTATTATCTCCACCTCGTGTTAACCCATTGCGTACCGCAGTGTTGCGGTAGCTGCTGAATGTGCCCGGCGTTTCCTTCGAAATCGAGCGGGCGACGTGGTTCACGGCGTGGAGCACTCAGCCACACAGAGCGGTTGTTTGAGCGAATCGCAAAGTATGGACTGTTCTAACTTTATCAAAACTCTAGAGTGATTTTGGACGAAAATGCGGGCGCGCAGAGGCGGAGGGGCGTGCTTCACCATGTGCAGCACGCGGTACGCAATGGGTTAATGATTGCAAGTGGCATTGAATGAGCCTCCTCGATCTGAAGGTATTGTGAGTTCACATCAATAACCATGCATATTGCAAGTAAACCTTTCTATGCAACTAATTAAGAACAGGTAATATGAATTTGACAAATGATTTGTACCGTAGAAATTTCTGAATTTTGGCGTCAGTAATTTTGGAACACCCTCCACATGTATGGAGCGCTCGCCTCTGTCCGTCCGTCCGTCTTAAGCGGAAAATAAAAACTCCTGTCTCAGTGGACCTAGAGAGTTAAAATTTAGCAGGATCAGGAGGCAGTATGAGAACATTTATGGCAAGTGGGAGGACCGGACCGCGCCCACAGGGGCCGGGGTTTGCACTAAAATTTTCAATTTGGCTTTAGGGCGTTCAAACTTGGTAGGAGCACAGGCGGCAGTATGCGAACACTAATGGTGAAGGGTTTGCACGAAATAAATGTCCGAGCCAAAATCCATAACTCCTGATTCCGTGGACTTGGAGAGCAAAATCATTAGGAGTAGAGGGGGCAGGATGGGAACATTGGCGATGGAAGAGGCCTCAGAGAACAAGATCCAATCACTAATTGAATCCTAGCGCCTTTGTCATTTATGATGTAGCTTTGATTCTTTGATATATTTCATTCGACAAGAAGGGTAAGTACACTGATAGGGATTGATTAGTAGGAGATGGAATTTGGTTCACTTCCTGCTGTTAGCTTACCGCTACCCAGCAAAGTTTGCAATTCATTGAAGGAACACGGTTTATCTCTGCTTTGATATCATTCTTGGCAAATTTCTCCGACCGCTAATAATCTCGGATTCTCGTGTAATAACGTATCCGTACAGGAAAGGAGCTACATTTATAGAGGCATTTGATAATGGTACTATTATAACTCGACAGCATTTGTGAGTACCATTCAGGGCTTTGGATGTCTACCAGTTGAACCGTCAATGGGACATTATTTTAAGATGAACAGCGATTGATCGAGACTGCTAATCAAAGGCGTAGGCATCGGCACATTTCGAACGCCCTTTTTCCGACCCGACTGTCAAACTTTAACTCGTTGTAATCCATAGTTATAGACATAACCGCCGATCTCCTCACCGTTCCATCGCAGATGAGGGGCTGCTAAAACTAAAAGTTACCATGAATGCTGATGAACGCGATGATGAACGAATTTTTCTACTTCCAGGAACGCTCCTTTCTCAAATAAACAGGACAGGCGCCTTTCTCAAATAAACAGGACAGGTTTTCCATGCATATGTGCACCATATTAAATCTCATTGCAGATCAAATGATGGTGATGCAGTCTTATTGGATAAACTTAAACTTGACTGTGAAACTTTGCTTTGTAAAGAGATTGAGCTTGATTCAACGCTTCTTGACTTGACATCCGCAGTCAAGTTAGTGAGAGAGGATCCCACCTACAAACCATATGGGTGAGTGTCTTTCAGCTTTTCAAGATCCTGCTTTTTGAGTCCTTTAAGCACATTTGAATAGGTAGCTGGTTAGAATATAATTGTTTCTGTCCCCTGAAAATTGCGTTGTTTCGAAACTTTATCTAGAGCTAATTTTTGTGTGATCAGGAAGGCATTAAAAGCTTCATTTGCAGTTCTGAACTCAAATACCCAAAATCAGTGTCGAAAAACTTGGAATGTCCATAAAAAGACCGTGTAAACACACCCGACTCACCGATTTGACATTACCAGTCGGTCACCCGACTAACCCGGGCTATCCTCCTTCTTGTGTACTTGGCCTACCGCCCGCGTCCCTCCCAAATTCGGACGCTCCGGTGCAGGAGAACAGGCATAATAAATTCCCACACACGTACACACTTCGTGAGCGCTTTGCCCGTCATGCGCGGACTTTTGCTCAACTCGTGAGTGTTGAAGTAACCTGGTTTATTCCACTCTTCTTTGAGCTCCAAGTCAACTGTCATCATCATTCTTGTATGACGCCTATACCTTATCGATCTTGGACGCCTCTCGTCCAAATGAACAAAGTCGCGCATGCCCCACCTGTGTAAGTGGAGTCTAGTCGTGACTTCTACCGCTTGTCAAGTCTGAACGATCTATGTCCAACTTAACAATTTTCGCGAACGCCCTGCCGGTCCATGTCACCTTCCTAGAGCGTTTCAGTCCTGCCACCTGTACTCCTACCGAATTTGAATGCTCCAGATTCACGGAAACAGGAGTTTTAAGTTTCCAGTAAAAGATGCGCCGACACAGACACCAACACACACTGATACCCGTAGGCCCACCGTCACTCCTCACCTTTTATTCTCGAAAAATGAGCAGTGGGTAACAGCCACATATCGTGAAAAACGTATCAGATTATAGGTTCATGACTCCTATAACTGATAGCGTAGCGGGACGTGAGTTCATAAGTGGATAAAGAATAGAGGGTGTATACATATTTTATTATATATATGTTATATTATAACATGACCGGATGAAGGGGGGAGCCAGAACAAGTCGGCCAGAGCCGATACTATGGGAGAGTCACGCAGACCTAGACGCTCGAGATGTGTAGAGGCCAAGTTGCCGGTATCTAGCTCGTTTTATAGTGGCTCCGTGCAACGTCCGTGAACAGGTGGTCTCGTCCAGGTGGCAGTCGGGTAGCGGGGATGCGACATCTCCATTCCTTACAGTAAGCTCGTCCTCGAGCTTCAAATGAGCTTTCAAGCGGTACTGTGCTTCATCGAGGAGAGAGATGGAAAGTTGATGAAAAAAGTATGGAATGAATACGTATCCTAGAATATCGTGCTGCTGTTGATCGTGTAGTAATGTGGACGAGAAAGGTGACAAACTGCGTTATGCGGAAACAGTTAGAAAGTACAAAAATGGCAGTTGTCCATAAGGGCTCTCACCACACCTTCGAAAAGGCTCGGCCTCGAGCCGAAAAGTGGTGGGGGGAGGTGATACGGATAAAGTCATAACACTGTCGTTCGATGTAAGCGTCATTCAACAACATACGTACGGAATCTTAACAGGTCGGTTACAGTGGTGACAGTTAACCTATGAGTTATCCTCATACGCCAAGATAATTGATACCGTTCTCATAATGACATAATAAGGCTAATTCTACGAGTTAGACATTTTTTTGTTCTATTGTATGTGATAGAAGTTACACCGAAATAAGGCAATATAATAAGGCTTACGACAACTTGACTAAACAAAATATGCCATGGTTAAAGTCGATAACAATAACATTACGAGGACGACTTGTGCTAAGTATTTTCGAACTTGTATGTAAACTGTGATACGAATATCAGTCTATGCACACTGAGGTTCGACTGATATACAGACATCATCAAAATACTGTGAAGCAAGTACTAGTCTTGCTGAGAGCGACTAATATAAGAGCGTATTACTTTTTTTGTTTTTGAGATTAGAAAATAAGTGGAGTATACGCTGCCTGTGGTCTCTTTAAACCGCCAATTCGAAGAGTTTTTGAAAGCTCGCGACATTGCGGCAAAATTGGAAAAAGATGTTCAAACTTACCAATGGCGGCTGTCTATGACGACTTTTACAGATGGATTTCTGTTCACCATCTTCATAATTCATCGTCTGATTATTATTTGTTTCATGCCGTCTGATGCTTCCTCATTAAGTGGCACAAGTGTTGTTGCGTTGGGTATGAAAGCATTAGCTAGCGTGGAACGTGTACAATAGTACGCGGTATGTTGCGTCGAAATTACGACGCTGCTCCCAAGAAAGATTTTACTGTTTTACGTTCTTCGGACGTGGTCTCCATTAGAGTAAGGTGTTGTGGTCTCAAAGGTTTTAGAAAAGAGCACGAAGACTAGAAACGATTGTAGTATAGGAATTTATTTCAATATTGATGTTTGTCAGAGGACATTTCCCCAAGACAGTGCTTCGTTTGGATCACGCTGTGCCTTTTTTCCGGCATAACTTCTATCACCTGATGAATAAAGTTGTGTCCTGATGAGTGAAAATACTCTCTAGGGACTTACGCGTGTTACCGTAATCCAGAGCTAGGAGGTTATCACTGAATTGTGTCTACCTGAGTGATGGATCGACAACGAACAGCCGGCGAGTGGCTGCTAACTATTAATGGTCGCAACTGTTACTACATTGCATAGGTCACTCCCTAACGCTCTAGCTTGAGCTGACCTGCGATGTCCGATCGTAAAAGATCGTTGACTTCGTGGGCAGCTGCTGAGCGGCGGCTAGTGAACCCAACTTATTTGTAAGGTGTTGACCTGGGGTCTCGCCTCGAGATAAACGATCTCGATTGGTTACGAAGTGATTAATAGCAGTCTTCATGACCTGCTCACTATATGTGGTTCTCCAATACTACGAGCCGTCCACCGTATCCTATAATAATGGGAAACGAGATTAGCTACTTCTCATATTATATGCGCATTTCGAGCAGCCTGTCATGCCAGTTCCTGGTGGGATGGAAGGGTGGCAGAGGAGTTCTTTAAATTGACGTCATAATGGCGATCGCGTCCTCATGTGATAATTCATATCGGCGTGAATATGTGAAAGAAAAAGATTTATCATCAGCTAGAATTTGTACAGTCTCCTTACCTTCTGGACTAGTTCCTAGACCAGAAGTATTGACATAGGGTCGTGGTCATACAGAACAATGATTTGCGGTCATTGTCTGCCTTCTATAGGAAACATAAAATAACTTCTATAATAGATACAAAAAAATCTGAGGGTATGGTGTATTTTTTTTTGTTTATTTTATTTTTGTTCTAGAGTACTTCCTCCATAACGCTGAATCTACTCTAATTAACATGATCAATTAATAAAGCTTGAAATAACCTAGGAATTGACGCACGACCTTGCACTTCACGTGCTCCGTCGGACATAATACGACCAATGAACGCACCAGCACCAGCAACAAGATGCTATGCTTGAAGCTGTCCTTGGGAATTAGTACATACTCGATCCTCATCGTCCTATTTTTGGTTTTTTTTTTGTTTTTTCATACCCGGGCGGGTGGATGCCCTATGTTTGCTCGAAACTGGGACAAAAAGAAAAGAAAATGCTAAACAAATGGCGTTCATAATCAATAGCATTATTAATACCTTAAGGTTACCCAACGGTGGATTCTACGTTGAAAATGGGGGTGGGCCGTGATATAAGGGAGCTCGTCGCCAGGACCATGTTGAACTAATTGTTCTGATGGAATAGTTTGCAAAAGGTGCTTCGGATGACACCATTTTGCACAAGAAAAAACTGTGCTCTGGCTGCACACAGTATTTCTTACTCATGGATTTTTAGAGGCGGAAGCTACTACAGTACCGCTACCCGTGATGAAGAGATTGTGACGTATCGAGGGACCGGTTTCGAGAGACATCCTCTTCATAAACATACTTTAAAACAGTCGACTTATCTGACATCGCAGAGTCCATTGTCCATGTCCTGAGCCGTCATCCATTGCCGAAGTAGTGAAATACAGTCATGTGAATACAGAGGGTAGTGGGTGGTAGGGTAAAGG